TTCGCGCGAGGTGAGAGCCGGCAGGGCGCGCGTGCGCGGAACCTTGGCTTGGGCCTGGGAGGAGAGATGGAACTGCGCGGGGGTCGGGGAGGGGGCACAGGGGAGCGGCGGCCACCGCCGCACGGGTTCGGTCGGGGAGCCGCGGGAGGTGCGGAGAGGCGCGGGAACGCGCCCCGGTTGGCGCGCAGGGTGACGGTTGGGGCCTGCCGGGTGACGTTGGAGCGACGCAGGGCGGGGGACGGCAAGCCGCGAGGCCGCCACGCGGGAGAGGCCGCCAGGCGGCCACGCCGGGGCGAGGGCCAGGGGCCAGATCGGCCCGCCGGGGCAAGTGTACCTGGTCCGTTGAGGACCGGGCGCCGCAGAGCCACGTGAGGTGGGGGAGGGGGGTGTTCGGTTAGAGGGCATGTTACGAGGGGGTTGGCGGCCAGCGTGGGGGAGGGGAGACGGCGTGGCTCCGGCTTGGCGCAGCCTTTGAGGAGAGGGTGGCCGCGGCACCGGAAGTGCCCCCCACGGGAGGCTGCTCTCGGGGTCGGAGGCCGCATGGCCGAAGGTGGACCGGGGCCTCATGGCAGCGCGGGGACCCCTCCCCCCAGGTCCCGGCCGCCGGAAGCCCCGGACGGCCACATGGTGGGCGGGAGCCGGCAGCCCCCAGCGCGGGGAGACCTGGTCCTTGGGGGGTCTGAGGGAACCTGGAATTTGAGGAGTAGGAGAAGCCCGAGGCCCAGATCTTGATCACCCGAGAGGGCCCGCTGCAGGCATATGTTAGCGCTACCCAATCTCATGGGCCCTGGAGCTTTCCCCCCTATCCTGTGAAGCGAGGCGGCCAGCCAGGTGTAAGTGGCACTCTTTGAGGTGGGAGGCTCTAGAAATGGGGAAACTTAGTGCAATTGGACAGGAGCCCAACTCTTCTGCCAGCCGGTACCGATAGCGCCTTAAAGTCCAGGGCAGATGAGTTTCCCACTGTGACATGGGCTCTTCACCTTGTCACTGTCTTCCCCTGGTATCTGCTTTGAGAGTTGCTGGGTTTTAGAGTCCTTAACTGTACCAGCCCGTGTGGTTTCTGCTACTTACTACTGCCAACCTTTTGCTTTCATTTTATTGTCATTCACTACCCCCTACACCCCCACTTTCTACGGACTGTACAGGCCCGGCTTGAAAAGCCGACAGGACAGATGCATCCTGGGAAAAGTGGGAGGGTCCTCCGGGAGAGGCTGGGTTCCTGGGTTCCCTTTGGGAACTGAGATCGAGGTGTTTGGTCGGGAATCATTTAGGAAATAACTTTACTTTCCCTCCTTGACTTCATCTGCAAGTGCATGTTGGCAAGGCGGGAATCCCCCAAAGAGGCCTTGTGGTTTCCTGTATCAGTGACTGGTTTGTGTGTGGATGGAGGAGTGTAACGGATGGGTGGGGCCTTGTCCTCCGGTCTCCACCCTCCCCCCATTAGCCACACCCTTTTGCTGGATCATAGCTGCTCACCTAATTATAGCCTTGGCTATGTGTGGGGAAGAGGGGTGGTTGGTTTCAGTGGCAAGTAACACCTGAGTCCTCTCCCCTCCCAGGAAGTAGGCCTTTCCTCATCTCTGAGATTTGGCATGCTAACTGCCTCGAGCCTTCCTTTCCCAAGCCACTACGTTAGCTTTCATTTTGGGGAGAGGATACAGCTATTCCCTCCTTCCATATACACACCGGTTCTTAAGTATATTTGAGTCCAATCAGTATTTAATCTAGGAACTGTGACTTTATTTTATGTGGGTAATGGAATAAAAGATTTGGGGAGAATGAAGCAATGTTTCCAGAGAGGAATGAGATAGATTGGAGGTCCTTTTAATCTCCATCCTTACGCCAGTTCTCTTCTTGGCTCTAGTTGGAATCGAAGCCTCTTAAAATGGCAGATGATTTGGACTTCGAGACAGGAGATGCAGGGGCCTCAGCCACCTTCCCAATGCAGTGCTCAGCATTACGTAAGAATGGCTTTGTGGTGCTCAAAGGCCGGCCATGTAAGATCGTCGAGATGTCTACTTCGAAGACTGGCAAGCACGGCCACGCCAAGGTTAGAATTTCACTTCCATATCTTGCCTTCCCCTTGCCTCCGGTATCCTTGGGGCTCCTAGCAGCAAGCTGCCTTGAGTCCTGGCCCTCTACCTTCCTTTAGCTCTGTGTTTACTGTCTCATTCCTTTTGTTCAGCACTCAGCCCTTTCACACTACTACACCTGCTCCCCAGTCTTCAGTCTCTTCTGTCCCCTCATCATTCTCTGGTAGTCCCTCCATTTCTCCAGCTTTGTGCCAGTCTCTTGTCTTCATGGGCCTCTATGCTCCAGCTAATCAGCTGTTCCTTCCTTATTCCTGGCTTTTACTTTTTTTGTTTCTCTCTCTTCCCTTGAGCCTTTGTAGCTGCTCTTTGTTTCCATCACTCTTTCCAGGGTTTCTCCAGTCCTAACAAAGAATGCAGACTTCCCATGGAAGGACTCCAGTGTTATCTCTGAGCTTTCAAATCACCTTGCTCTGCCTCATTCCCCAGTTCTAGCTTTCCTTTTGACTCTGATGTAGAATCAGACTGCCTCTGCTTGCCCCAGACCACTCTTCTTGGGTTCCTTGAGCCTCCATGGTTTCTTGAGTCTTAACATTCTTGCTGGTGCTTCCCTTGTCACCTTGGACTTGTCTGTTTTTCCCCCAGATTTCAACCTGGTCCATTCTTGTTGAGTTTCTTGCAGTTTTGTTCCCTAATCAGTTTTTCTGTCTTCTGTTGACTTGACATTGATCTTGCTTATTCCCTAATGTTGAGATCCTTCTCTGGCTTCCTTCTGAGATCCTTTTTTGGCTTCTTTATTTCCTAACTGCATAGTTCTTTCTAATCTTCCCCCCAGTCCTTTTTTCTTTTCAGCTCTCTTCCTTTAACATTTCTTCCTATGTTCTCTGCCTTTTCACTTCTACCTTTCTCATTTCCCAAGTTTTCGGCCCCCTGTCCCAGTGTTTGGAGAACTCTTCCAAACTTTTTATCTAGACTCCTCCCGCTCCCCTGGGCATCTTGTTTGTCATTGTTTTTTTTTTTTTGTCACGGTAACTACTACTCTGAACATGCCCTACAGTTTTCCCTCGTGCTGTCAAACCCAACCTCAATGGTGGTCTTTTAGCCTCAGGTTTTTTTTTGTAAAGGTGTTAGTGTTTCTTTCCTGAGTTAACTGGTTTAATTCCAACTCTCCTGATCTTTGCCCCAACAATGTAGTCTGACTTCCCTCACCAGCCAAGGACAAGTCTTTATCTCTTCCATCCTAGAGTTTGGTTGGGTTTCTTTTGTGATGCATACATACAGGTTCACCTGGTTGGTATTGACATCTTTACTGGGAAGAAATATGAAGATATCTGCCCGTCAACTCATAATATGGATGTCCCCAATATCAAAAGGAATGACTTCCAGGTATGTAGATGGTCTGGATGAGGATGGGTTAGTGGTCTATGGGGGGAAAACATGAATTGGCCAGGAGAGCTTGTGCTGGGAGAGAAGAAAGAAATGGCAGGAGAGGATATTTGGTATTAGTAGTTTGCTGTCACCCCAGTTTGTTCGTCAGAACCTTTGCCCTCAGCCTACCTTCAGCTTCCTTCCCTGTCTGCCCCTAGCTGATTGGCATCCAGGATGGGTACTTATCACTGCTCCAGGACAGCGGGGAGGTGCGAGAGGACCTCCGTCTGCCTGAGGGAGACCTTGGCAAGGAGATTGAGCAGAAGTATGACTGTGGAGAAGAGATTCTGGTAAGGTGCTTCCCTCCCCATCTTTTTTTTTTTTTTTTTTTTTCAACCTGAAGACCTTGAAAAGCATTATCTCCCCATCTTTTGTGCTCAGTTTGCTCTTTATGCTTCTTCCTCTGAGCCCAGACATCTGTTGACTGTCCCCCTTGCTCTTCCAGATCACGGTGCTGTCTGCCATGACAGAGGAGGCAGCTGTTGCAATCAAGGCCATGGCAAAATAACTGGCTCCCAGGTGAGTGACAAAATTCCTCACTGTCTCTCTTCAAGCACTTTGTTGTCCTCATCAAAGAGTTGCTCTATTCTTAATTGTTCCAGGCTTTCTGCCCCTAGCCTGGTCCTGTCCTCCCATTTTCTTGCTGTTTAAGGTATTATATTCCTGTCTCACATGGTTTCTCTCTCCTACCTAGGGTGGCGGTGGTGGCAGCAGTGATCCTCGAGTCTGCAGAGGCCCCCTCCCCCAGCCTGGCCCGGCTCTGGCCTGGCCCTAGGCTGGACTCATACACAATTTATTTGATGTTTTATTTTGGTTTCCCCCACCCCCTCAATCTGTCGGGGAGCCCCTGCCCTTCACCCAGCTCCCTTGGCCAGGAGTGAGCAAGCCATGGCCTTGGTGAAGCTGCCTGCCTCTTCTCCCCTCGCACTACAGCCCTGGTGGGGGAGAGGAGGTGGGTGCTGCTTGTGGTTTAGGTTTTTTTTTTTTTTTTTTTTTTAATTCAATCTGGAATCAGAAAGCTGTGGATTCTAGTAAATGGTCTTGTGCCCTTCCCCTACTCATCCCTGGTCTGGTCCCCTATTCCCCATAGCCCTTTACCCCAAGCACCACCCCCACAGACTGGGGACCAGCCCCCTCCCCTGTTTCTCTCCCCAAACCCCTTTAGATGGGGAGGGAAGAAGAGGAGAGGGGAGGGGACCTGTCCCCTCCTCAGGCATCTGAGAGGGCCCTGCCCCCATGGGCTTTACCCTTTCCTGCGGGCTCTCTCCCCGACAAATTTGTTAAAATCAAACCTAAATAAAACTACAAGTTTAATATGAAGCCCCCAACTCAGCTGCTTATTTGAATCAAATGGTTATCTGCTGAGTGGAAGCTGCATTTGGAAAGCAGAAATAGACTGAGGTTTGCCATTGAGTTCATTGTGACCCACTGTCTCACTCTGATTTGCTGTGGACCTGCCAGCCATCCCACCACCCTCCAGGCAACCTTGGCCTATTCCAAACAGTTGGAGGGTTGGAGGCAACACAAACAGCAGCAGCCAGGGGCAGTGATAGGTAGATTTTATTGGCCTGGGACACACGGGAGAGGGCACCATCACCCATGGTGGGGTGGGGGTTGTTAGGTTGAAGATATAATCTGATGGTCACTTGTGGTAGAATCTCGGGTTCTGGCTGTGTTGGATGAAGGGGAGCCGAGGGCCAGGTTGGCTGGTAGCTGCAAAGCCCGACTGGTGGTGATGGTGACAAAAGGAGGGCTTTGTCAGCAGACACACTCTCCCTTCCACTTAATACCCTTACTGATAACCACTGCCAAGGAGGAAGGGAAGATTGGATGGTATGGGCCACCTGTCTGTCTACCTAATCCAGTTTTCCTGGTAGTATAGAGATTATTATCCTTACCTTTCCTGCTGGTTGCATCTGCACAGGGAGTTGGGGGGAGGCAAGAAGTCCAGGGGCTGGATGCAGAGCCTGCGGGTGCATGGGGCGCAGGGAGGACTGCAGAGAACAGAGTCAGGACCTGAGGCATACTAGGGACTCCCCTTAGCATAGCCCTAACCGTGATCTCCCAGGGCTCCATACTCACTGAGTCGGAGAATCCAGTCTGCTGGTTAGCATGCTCCATCTGCTTTTGCAAGGACAAGGCACCACCAGGCTGGAGGAACCCTAGGTGGAGAAGGTTATGTGAAATGAGTAGAGAATGAGACAAGGAGGACCCATGGAGCTACGGCTCCTGCATGGGGTATTGTCACCTGTCTGGGTGGGCTGAAAGTGGCCATGCACGGCATAGGGCTGTGGCTGTGGCTGAGATAGGTACTGCACTGCAGGAAACGCTGAAGGTGCTGAGAAAGGCAGGAGGCACAGTTGTCAGAACCTCCTTTTGCTTTATAACATTCTTCCCTCTGGGCTTTGAGGAAACCCCCCTCCCTCATTCCATCACTCACCTCTGAGTTGCTGACTAGGACTGTAGGCTGGCTGTGTGGGCCCATAGTGAGGTGGGGGCTGAGCAGTCCCATAGGCACCACCTGGGCTGCCTTGGAATTGCCCATGCTCTGGGGTCCCTGTGAAAGCAGCTGCTGAGCCCACGTAGTGCCGGGTCTAAGGAAGGGAGGACGAGAACTCACTGTCTGCAAACCCCTTGAGAGCAGAAACCTGGTGACTTGTGTATATCTCTATAGGCCCTGTTTTCCCCTATGCAGTAAGTGCGTGGGTGGAAACAGTAGAGAAAACCAGCTGGGGCTGGACATCCAATCCTACTTCTCTCACCGTAAGCACTTGGGGTCCAAACATCTGTTTAGCTCTGTCAGCTGCCATGAGGGTGCCTGGGCGATTGTGTCCTCCAGGGCTCCCTAGAAAGGAAGAGGGGCTTCAAGATGCTGAAAAGGGGGGCTGCAACCTCCAGGAGACCCCATTCTGTCAAGTGGTTTCTTTAGTCCTCACCCTGCATACTGAGGAGATGAGTTCCTGTGTGGACAGTCAAGCTCTGCTGGTACGCAGCTGATGTCAGGGTGGTCAGGTCACTGGCATGGAAGGAAGGCAGGTCAAAGTCAAGGACAGGTGCCCTCTCCCACCATTAAATTGCAATTCTTTTTTGTTACTTAATTCCAGTTCCACTTTTCCCCCATTTTAATCTTTAGCTCTCTGATCCCACCTCTGTTCCTTTCGCCTCCGTTTTTCTTCCTCATGTAAAACTTTCTTGAGCTGCAGGAAAAGCTGGTGCTTCTCTTCCTGTAGTGCCAAAAGCTTCTCCTGCAACTTCAGAATCTGGGAGGTGGGGCAGGGCAGGGAGGAGAGCATGAAGGCAGGGAGAGCCAAGGGAAGACGTTAAAGTTGGGAGAGATTGAGGGATTGCTTACTTGCTCCTTGGTCTCCTCTAGTGACATTCTCTCTTCCATCTCCTTTTTCTTCCTTCTCTCTTGTTCTTCTTTCATCTTCTGTTCCATCATCTTGTCCACCTCTTCTTCCTCTGGAGAATCAGGCAGAATGGGCAAGTGGCACGGTGGTGAAAATAATTCAAATGTTACAGATGGAAGACCATCAAAAACTACTTATCCCAACATGCCTGTATGCACCTGGTAATGGCTCTTTCCCTCGAGGGGATACGCTTTCCCTCGCTGCTACAGGAGGCAGGGAGAGGGAGGCTTTCTTAGGTGCTCTCCAAGGTCCTTCCCAACTCAAGGGTTCTGGGGCTTGGACCATGCCTCTCAACTCCCACCACAACGGGGCTGTTCATTCCCTCTAGCCTCGGCCGCGGGCGCACTGGTCTGGCCATGGGTGGAGGCCAGCCCTGGGAGAGCGCAGCCATTCTGGGCCGTGTGTCCTCCCGCTTTGGCCCCAGCTCACCCTGCCGCTTGCGCTCCCGCTCCATCATGATGTGCCGGTGCAGCGCCCTGGCCATGGCGTTGGAAAGCTTGGGGCGCTCCAGGAGCGCAGGCATGGTGCTGCCGGGGGCGCTCGGGCCGTGGGCGCCCGGCTCTGTCACTGACTGCCAGACCTCAGACCGGGCCTGTGGGGAGGCGGGCGCTCAGGGGGGGGGAACCGCGCCCGGCCGAGGCGGAAGTCCGTCCGCCCGGCCCGCTCGCCGCCCCGGTCACGCGTCCTCGGCGCCCGCCGCCCGGCCGGGCCCGCAGCCCCCGCTCCACTGCGCGCGCGGGCGGCGCCGGGGTCCCTGACCCCGCGCCCCCGCCCCCTTCCTCACCAGCCCCGGAGCCGGCCCCTCCCTACCCGCGTTAGCTGCGCTTTCTCCGCGGCCTCCGGCGCGTCTCGGCCCCCGCGTCACATCCGGCGCCGGGCCGAATTCTTCCGGAGTCGCGGCGGCGGCAGACCTCGCGGGTTGGGCGAGAGGAGAAGGCGGAAGCGCGCTGGGACGGGTGCCCGCGGCAGGGCGCGCGGGGTCGGCTGGGGCTCTCAGCCCTCTGACTTGGCCGAGCAGCGCCGCGGGGCGGCCCAGGGGCCGGCGGGCTGTGAGAGGGCCGCGCGCGAGACACACCGAGGCGGATGCTCTGAGACAGCGTTTATTGGCTCCTTAGAAATCAGAGTCAGTAACAACTGTACAGAGGGGCCCCATCTTCCTTGCGCCCGCCCTTCCCCACTCCCGCCCGATGGCCCCCGGAAAAAGCAGCTTCATGTGGGGCACAGGGGGATACTCCTCTGGGATTCACAGTAACCAGAAACAAAAACGGAAATAAATTAAGTGATGGGGGGAGGAGAGTAACAGGGAGTCGTGTTCCCCAAATCAGTGCATGAAGAGGGGTACCCAGGGCCCAGAGCTGGGCTCCCCCAAGCTCCCTCCTATTAGAGGGAGTGTTCTGGGCCGCTGGACATGGAGATGTGCCACTTCCAATCTAAATCTGAGAGGCTGCCTCCGTGCTCCTGCGCATCTGCCAAGATGAGCACCTGTGCATGCCATGAGTTACTGGAATGAGGTGGAGGCAGTCGTCACTCAGAGTCCATGGGCCCAAAGCCTAACTGTGCTTGTAGTAGTGGTGTCTCACCCCTCATTCCACCCGTACCAGCAGGGCATAGAGGAGTGTGGCCCCCTTCTCCTTAGTGACCCATTCAAGTTCGGCTGGACTGAAGTGAGGGTCAGGAGGTTCTCCAAGGGCAGCAGAAGGGGGCCCAGGGGTGTAGGAGCCAGGGCGCACGCACACCTGGAATGCCACCTGAGCCTGGTGCGTCCGCTGGTATTTGGGGTCCCGGAATCTGTAAGACAAGAAGCAGAAATAGGGGAGTGAGGACTCTGGCCCATCAGCTCTTCCCCTTTGCTAACTCTTTTCCAACCACGCAGGCTTTGCTGTTCCTAGGACATACTCCCCCACCTTATAGGAACTTAGCCCTGGCTGTTCTGCTTGAAATGCTCTTCTTCCCAAAGCCTGCTCATCTACATCCTTCACTTCCTTCCTTCAAGCCTTTGCTCAAACCTCACCTTCTTATGATGCCTACCTACCCTGACTACTTATTTAATGTGCCTGCTCCAATGTATTTCTCCTTCACCCCAATCTCCCTTTTCTTTGTTTCCATAGTACCTACTCTTTTCTTTTTGAGACAGTCTTGCTCTGTTGCCCAGGCTAGAGTGCCGTGGCGTCAGCCTAGCTCACAGCAACCTCAAACTCCTGGGCTCAAGCGATCCTCCTGCCTCAGCCTCCTGAGTAGCTGGGACTACAGGCTCACATGCCTGGCTAATTTTTTCTATTTTTAGTAGAGAGGAGGTCTTGCTCTTTACTCAGGCCAGTCTCGAACTCCTGACCTCAAGTTATCCTGCCTCAGCCTCCCAGGGTGTTAGGATTACAGGTGTGAGCCACCACGCCCAGCTATACTTATCATGTGTAAACACCATAGAGAGACAAGGTATAAGTTTCACAAGAGCAAGGTTCCCTTTTTTGCCCGCCAAGATAGCATATAAGTGGTATTTGTTCAATGAATGAGTGAAGAAAGGGCTGAGGTAGAGACTGAGCAACTGGCAAGACAGGGTGAGAAGAGGGGAGGGCAAATCATGAAGACCCCAGTGGCTGGCCTTGGGGCCCTCTCTTGATCTGAGCCTCTGGAGATCTCTCCCCACCCCTCCCGTGTACTCACTGCACTTTGGAGGCCAGGGTCTCGGCCCCAGCATATTGAAGGGAGGGGGAGAGCAGCACAGGTGGGGGCTGTTCTTCCCGAGGAGGTGCACAGTTCTCGCCGGGCTCCTCAAACCCTACCCCAGTCTCTCCCTTCAATGGCCGGCAGCTCAGGATGGAGGCAGTGCCTGGGAGGAGAGCTGGGTCAGGACAGCCTTTTTATTCCTCCCAGTGGCCCCCAGGCCCAGCCTACCCTGCCTTTGCCCACTCCACAGTACCTGCTCCCAGCTCCCCTCGGTCTAGTACCCTCCGTACAGCTGCCACATTACTCCCGTGATACGCCATGTGCCACTTCTTGGTTAGCGTCCCTGCCTCCAGGCGGGGATTCACCCTAGGACATGGACAGATAGGGCAGATAGGACAGAGGTCTCTGGATCCCCAAGGTCATGCCCTAGACAAGACGTTCTATCATTTCTTCCAGGTACCTTCTTGGGACCCCTCCCTGCACCCCCTGCTTTCACAAGGGAACAAAGATCAGCAGGAGAAAGGCATGACCCCTGCCCACCGTACCTGAGATTAAACCTGCACCAGCCAAAGGGCAAGGCATATTCCCGGGGAGGTTCCCCTCGGCGCCTGTGGGCCTCATCTCCTCGCAGCTTCCGGCAAGACTCACAGTAGCACAAGCTACGCTTCGGTGGAGGCATGAAATAATCCTCTATGGGAGAGTGAGTAGCAGGCTTGGTGCTATGGCTCCCGCCCTGAGTCTCCACCGCGCTGCTGCACTCCAGCTGGTCTCCAGGGCTCTGGGCATGGCCCTGACCTGGCCCTGGGAATGAGGAGGGTTCTGGGGGACTGGGACTCACCAGGAAGCAGCAGCAATTCTTGGAAACGGGAGCAAAGGGCATGGTACTCGCAGCTCTTTAGAGGGCTAGCAGCAGGCGGTGGACCCCAGCACACACTCTCCTTGATACCTAAGGGAGCAGAAGGGCACAGGTCACAGGAGCTGGGCTAGAAGTATGGGAGCAGGGGTGGGAGCAGGAGCCTGGTCCCTTTGGGCTGGCGCACCATCCACCATGTCTGCTTTCTCCATGTCCCCTTGGGTTCCAGCACTCTTTCCACTGGCAGCCCCTGGTTCAGGGCTCACGATTGTCACCTGCAGGAGAGAGGGGTGGTCAGCCGGAGCTTGGTCAGCCCCCAGGGTCTACTGATCCCCTTACTGGATAGCCCCGTCTCCCTGGCACCCCCTCCTCCCCGCCCCCATTGCCACTAACCTGCTCACACTGCCCATAGAGGTCCACGAGTGCATGGCAGGGCTGGGGCACATCTGGAACAGCCACCCCCTGGTCCACCCCATTGATGTGGAGATGCAGCCCCCCAGAGCTGTCCAGCCGCAGTCCCAGAATGGTGCCTTCAGGACATGTGTCCAGATTTGGCCCAAACTTCTCACAGATCTAAGAGGAGAGACCTACTATCTTCCAGACGCCAGACTCCCACCACAGCAGCTATCCCACCCTTTACTCCACTTTAGGTTGCCAGTCGCTGGGCTTTGCCTCCATGCTTACTGCCTAGACCCTACTCCCATTTCAATTACCTAGAACCCTCTCCCCTTTCTCCCAACTGTAACATTCTCAATGGCAGGGACACAGGAGGCGGCTGCAAGCCTGAGGCCAACCAGGACATGGCACTCACACCCTGACCTGCCCACTACTGTCCCCCTTTAGACCTGTGGCCCCACCTCCAGGGATAGGGATCCCACTCCCCCTTTTGACCAGCCCCTCCCTACTCAAAGGCCTGGCCCTCTCCCTTCTCTCTGGCTCCCTACTCACCTTGAGACCATTGTGGAAGACCCCATGGCCCCGCAGCAGCCAGGCTGCCCGTTTGAGGGCACAGGCGGAGGCAGGGAAGTTGAGCCGCTCAGGCGGGCAAGTGATGACTCCCAGGACAAGGGAAGATGTCCACTGTCGGTTCAGGAAGTCTATTCGCACCTAGGGGAGAAGAAATTACTCCACAATCATGGCTTCCTGGGAAGAGCCAGGGTCCTCACCCCAGCCAGGCAGGGAATGTGGCATCTCCCAGAGTATGGCTTGAGATGCTGTCCTTTCTGATGCTTAGAAGGAATAGAAACTGCAAATTCAGTTGTTCCCTTCCCTTTCTGAGCCTGATCTTACTGCTGCCTCTGTAAGAATTCTGGTCCCTAGGAGCTTCCTTCCCCTGGCTAACTTTGACAGATATTTCAGTTTGCAACAGAAAGGCCCCCTCCTCTGGAAAGCCCCCCCTATTTCCACATACAGGATCAGGCATCTCCCTGGGACTCCTCCAGCTCCTCCCTACTGCTTCCCTCACCTGTCACCAGGTGGGAGCTTCATGGTAACTGATTTACAACCCCCATTACAGGTTACAAACAAAAGCCCAGGAAGCTCATCCAAGTGGCTTGCTGCCTTTTTTCCTCCACCTGAAAAAGTCTTTCTCCAAGAGGGTTGGCTCTGGGCCACCCTAGAGTAAGAGGAACTATGGCTAAGGAGGCAGAGCTCACCTGGACCAGCAGCTGGGGCACCAGGGGCTGGCTGATGACAACAATGCCTTGATTGTAGCTGGCCACCCGAGTGGCTGTACGGTTCCCATTGGACAAGAGGATATTCTTCCCGTGGTTCTCCAGGAATTCAAGGGCTGTGGGCATAATACCCACTTGATTCTGGCCCTGCCGTGGAGGAAGAGGTTGAACTGCATGGGTTGCCAATGCCAGGCCCACCCCACCCCAGTGGGGTTTACACAGAGATTGCGCCTCCACTGGACAATTAGAGAACCCAAAACAGGCCTGGCATCTGGTGGCCCACCAACTGCCCATCCGTGTGCACAGTAGGTCCTGCTGTAGCCTCTTACTCCCAGGCCATGCTCCTCGCCTTCGTCTTCCTCCTCGCCCTCACTGCCGGTGTCCGAGCTGGGGGAAGGCGGATGAGTGCCTTCTGGCTCCTCCAGCCTCGTGGAACTGACAATAGACACACTGCGCACTGGCCCGTAGAGATCCAACACAGCCCACACATTCTGCAGGCACACAAGACCCAGGAAGTCAGGATCAGCAAAAGACCTCAACCCCACTCCCAGAACCCAAGGAAGCGCTTAGGTCTACCTTGGCAATGCCAGTGGCTGCAGGCCCCATATCCTCTCCATCTACTAGGATGTGCATCGTGTCATCTGCCCCCCGACGAACGCCCACACGGCTCCCTACCTAAGACCAAGGTGAGACAAGGACAGATGCTCAGCCCACCTTTCCCTGCCACCTCCACTCCCAACCCCTCTCCTGTCCCTGGAGCCAGTTGCTTCACCCCCA